TGCATATAAAACATTAGAAATTAGATATTTGTTTAATTTTTATTGTGTGTTTGATTGTTAAAACAAAAAATATTTGTTGTTTGTCTCAATAAATTGTGTTAATTACAAATACAGTGGTTAAATTTAAACATTTTTTTTTCCTATTGCTTTTTGTTTTAAAAAAGGTTATAAAAATGTTCCAATAATTATCGATACCAAACGATATGAAACATTATATCGTTGATAAATTTTTTAGCTATATCGCCCAGTCCTAGTTAAAATTCATTTTTTCCAATGTACCACATCAGTACAACCCCAATCATTTTTTGTGTTTGTATTTTACTGACGACTGCTTCTCAAATCTCGGGGAGTTCATCGCAGGATTCACAAACGCTTGCTCTTGAAAGATGACTCAGTACCCAGTTTATTTGGACCAGCTGGCTCCACTGAATCACAACCTGTAAGTATGATAAATAGATTTTTATATTTTCTATCGAGCGTTCAAAATCCAGAACTATGGCAATGGGCATATTGTTTCCGACATGCGCTGTATGCGGTAGACCAATCACAACAGACTGGGCCATCTGACCAATCAGAGCAGAGTAGGCTCACAGAAAGGAGGGGTTTAGAGAGACTGAATCTTAGAACTGCTTCGAATGAATCATTTGAGAATCATTGGAAAATGAGGTGATATTAAATGCATATTTTGAGAAAACGAAAGCGTTTTTGACCTTGCATGCATTGTAGGAGACTCCCAAAACAATATTAGGAACCTTAAAAAAGGCATAATAGGGGTACTTTAATTTTATATCGGCATCAAAATCAGCTGCATAACATATGATACATGGATATATTTATAATAGCTACTGAATGCTTTTGCCAAATTATAATGGTGTTTGATAAGAGTTAGATTTTTATTTCCTGGCATTTTATTTCTTAGAATAACAGTGAAGTAAAGAACATCACATAACTGCAAACAAATGCGAAAATATAGAGCAATACATCCAGATAAACACAATAAACAGATATGGAGAAAAGCTGCATGTTACTCACATACACCTAAACAGAAAGACCAATGTGCTGTCAAGTGCAGCTGCCGGTTTGTTTTGTGGTTATCGAGAGCACAGAGCAGCCGCAGTGTAAACAGTCCAGGCCGTCACCCTGACACGCTGACTAAATGTCGTTTTTCCAGAAGCCTTTACAAATGGCCTCACAAGACAGGTGCTTTTCCAACAGCTTGACCTTTGACCCTTGCGTGTCAGTCAGCCAGTCTCTGAAGTGTGAATTCCTAGCAAATTTCCCTTTCCTTACTGAGTGAGAGCATGGTTTAGATTTTTCACTGGAAGAGAGAGAGAACGTGATCAGCATGGCTGGTCCTCACTGCAGCACTGTCCAATGTGACAAACAACAGGACTTTTTGAAAACTTCCAGTGTTTTGTGCCACTTGAGGATGGGTTTATCCAAAAATACTACACCTGCATGGAAAATTAAATTCTATTGCAGAACTTCTAAATTCTAAAACAGAGTTCTTTTCTCAACTGAGTTCATGTAAAGTCAATCAATCATATTATAACTAATGATTTCAGCCATTACTTGGCATTTCTGTGCACAATAGGCATCAGATGGTCTAGTGAGTGAAATAGTTGCTAGTAGACTTTCCTATCCAATGGGGGGGATCAAGTAAGCTTTACTGTCTGCACTCCCATTGGTTGTTAACCACATTACATGATTGCTTATTAGCATAAAGTAAAAAAAAAACTAACTACATATCTACAAAATTTTGATTCTTTAATGTTTTTGAAAGAAGCCTCTTCTGCTCACCAAGTCTGCATTTATTTGAGCAAAAACAATATTATTGTGAAATATTATTACAATTTAAAATAACTGTTTACTATTTTAATATATTTAAAATGTAATTTATTCCTGTGATGCAAAGCTGGATTTTTTAGCTACAATTACTCCAATCTTCATTGTTTCAAATCATTATAATATGCTGATTTGCTGCTTAATAAACAGTTCTTGTTATAATCAATATTGCATTTTTTCTCAGTCAAATCCTTACATGAACAGATAATTCAAAAGAACAGCATTTATTTGAAATATAAATCTTTTGTAGCATTATTAATGTCACTTATAATCAATTTAATGTGTACTTGACGAATAAAAGGTTTTTTTTTGTTAAAAAAAAGAGAAAAAATATTACTCACTCCAGATGTTATATGTATATATTTGTATTTTATATGTATCTAATATATGTATCTACTGATTCAAAATGTGGATCATACAGATTTATGAAGAGGTTCTAGTTTGTCCTTATGATCAATTCCATCCATTTCGCACATTTAATTAATATACAGAAACACTGGAGTTAAAAACATACACGTACATTTGCTCACAACCAGCAGTCTCTTGCCAGGTCTGGGTGACGTTGATTAGACATTACTGAGGCACCTGCAGGACTCTGGGACGTGGCCTGGCTCAGTCTAAGACTGTGAGCAGATGGTGTGTGTATGTGTATGAGTGTGAGCATGTAGCGAGAGTAAAAGCACTCCGGTTTTGCTTGGGAACTGGACCAACACCACGCATGCAAGGTCATTTCAATGAAAAATTACTAGTAAAGCTGTTTACTCCTGATTTGAACATCAAAACCTCCGGTAATAGCCCTGCACACTCAAATAACATTATTTGTACTCACTTAAATGAATAAATGTGCTAACTGCTCAATTTCACGTTTCACGTTCAAGCATGCTTTCTACACTGATGCCATTTTTCTCCTCACTAGATGGCACTATGACCAAAGCCTGCCATAAGAGAGGAGCGCCACTGGGTTTGGCCATTGCACTGCTCAGCTTTAACTCAAATCGATGGTTATTACTGTGTCCTTGGCCCAGTCGCCCACAGCAAGCATTCAGATGGGAGAGCGGCCAACGATTCCCCTTCTTCCTCACGGGCCTTTCTCCATCTCCCAGCATCCACATATATGCTTCCATCTCTCTCAATCAATCCCTCAACACACAGGCGTTTACACGCATTCAAAGCTGAATGTAAATGACAGGGGTACAGCTGCAAGAGTCTAGTGCTATAGTGCTCCTTTATTATCTTGTTTTCCAAGCGGTTTATGAGGATAATGCCAATGTATTCATAAGAGGTTTACAGAGAGATGCTCTCTCTGCCGTGTGCGTGTAGGAGGGGCCAATCAGAGGAGCCTTGATAGAGTAAACAATGAACAATAATTCCAGTCACCATCTGTACCACCTGTAATAATCATGCGAGATCTTCACATAAAAATGTAGCAACATGCTGTTAGTTTTAGGCATACTGGAAAGAGCTGATATTTATTAACTAATTATTTTTTCCAGTGTTATTATCACTAAAGAAAACCTTTTTATTAACTGAAAAAGAATGCAAAAAAAGAAAACATAACTATTTGAATTAAAAGTAAATATTTTAATGACTCCAAAATGAACTAAAATAAAATAAATAAAATTGTATCAAGATATATTTATCTATATTTTCTTCATTATTCACGTTTATGTGATGTTCATTACTTTAAGGTTATTTTAGGAAATAAGATCCCATGGAATGATTTCTTGCTTTAGTTTAAAAAATTATTTTATGTTAAAAATAAAAATTCTAATTCATTATGGCTTATACCAAGTATAAATATAAAGTCATAGTAAATATAAAGTAACCCAAATCCCTAAATTGTATAAATATAAAGTAGAAAAATACACTGTGAATGTTTAAAATTTCATTACCTGAGGGGAACTGACAGTCTTCAGAAAAGTTTACGTGGTATTTTCTTTTCATCTCGTCTCTGTATAGTTAATATTAAAGTAGTGTTTCAGCGCAGGGCTGCTTTGTTTAGAGCGGTAACCAAGGAAACGCTGTATCTGGTGCTCTAGAAGTGCCTCCTGCTGTCAGAGAGTGAATCTGCGTCTCATTCAGAGCTCCTGCTGATTGCTTCGTTCAGGCATGTAGTATAATTTCACAAAGCTAGTCAGAACAGAACATTCTGTCTTTACTTCAAATTGGGTTATTATTAAATCAAATTATGTATATGAAATTATATAACTAAATGATATGAAATGATATAAATGATATGTATATGAATTATATAACTAAAATTAAATACCTGTAATGACAGATTTAGGTTAAATAAAGATGTCAGTCTTTATTTTTCTTCTTTTTAGGAAACAAATCAAAGAAAAAATAAACAAATTCTACTGTTCCTAATATTCTGTATGTTGCTCAAAAACAAAATATATTGTGTTCAGCGGAAAAAAAGTTTTTTTGTTTTACCCAGTCATTTAAAAATAACACATTTTAGAGCTGTAACGACAATACCATGATACTTTTGCTTAAGGTCATACCGTCAAAATGCCTATTACCTACTTACATTAAACATGAAAATGCCACTAGATAACACTATCGATAAAACTAAATAGCCTTGAGAAATTTTGTGCTGCTATGTAAATTATATTAGTTAATATACTAACTTTGGCAGCACAAACATATTAAATATAAATAAATGATAACTATACAATAGTGAAACAAAAACTAAAACATACAGGTGGCCAGTTGCATAAACATAGCCACTATATTAAAACTGTGTCTTAAGAACTAGTTTGACCAACTAGCAGTTAGATGAGGGGTAATCAGTCTTACTTTTCACATTTAAATGATACAATCTATATTTTTGTAACTGACTTTAAAAAAGTTACGGCCAGTCTTGATGAAAAAAATTAGCTGACTAACTTTCTAAGACTAGTAAAACTAAATGACAATTAACTAGTTGATTAGCGAGGTTGACTAGTTAATCTAGATTTTCTTCCACTCTGTGTATCTGAAAGCAACGTGTCTAATGTAAACACACTAAGAAATGTGTCCTGATGAACCCTAAATAAGCCTAAGCATACATGTTTTTCTTAAAACCGATTGGTTGAGAAGTTGTTTAGGCTAGCTGATTTTGAAATGATGTAGTACTGTACATCCCTACTGAGAATATTTGTGTATTCTACCTGGCAAAGTCCAGATCAGCCTCACGTGACATGGTGATGTTGGTCAGGTTCTGCTGGAGCACAAAGATATTTCTGCACATCTTCTTGATGCCGGACTCGCTGATGCGCTTGAAGTACTGAGCTCCGTTTATCAGAATACAAGAGATCAGGTGACCCAGACCTGTACCAAGAACAGGAAGATAGTAAGAAAATAAATACTGCTTCAGGCATCAGCTTCCTGTTGAGGCAAGAGGTCACTCACCCTCAAAGATATACTGAAACTTGTGCTGCTGCAGGGCGGCTCCCATCACTTCCTCTATGGCACTGATGTCCTTATTCAGCTTCACCACCAGGGGGTCATAGTCCATGCTGGCTGCATTAGCTACAATGGCATAGTTGCCTTGTTTTGCCAGAGGGATCAGATAATGGAAACAGTGGACCCTGATGGGGCAGAGACGACAGGCACAGAATTACAATTATGAGTTGAGACAGATAAGAACTTTCCTGAAGCTTGAGATATGAAGTATTTTATTCGTGTACATACTATACTATATATAGTATATATAGTTAATTTATAGAATATAATATTAATATATAATATAAATACACACGCACATTACACACATATACTATAATAATAGATAAATACATTTTATTATGCATCAATTAAAAAAAAAATTCCAGATGAGAACAAAATTGTCCTCAAAATTCTGTTGGAAAATTTTTCCTCAGAGTATTTCAACAATCTAAATTAGCATTAAATGAAAGAAATAACGAAAACCACTTTGAATGTGTGAGTTATTGTTATCATATCCGAGTAGTGTTAATGGCACCGTCATCAGTCCTCAGAGAAATGCCAGATGCTGGTAGTGAATATCTTGCTTCACTCTATAAAGACTGAATGAACTGGGATGATGGAATGTCCCGTGAGCAGGTGTCTGTGTGTTTGTGGGTACAATCTGTGAAGTGTTCATGGACTAATAAACCTGCGTATAGGTGCACAGAGAAAGAGTGTTCTTGAGACAGAAAGAGAGAGAAGGTGAGATGGAAAGGTTTCCATAATGGCCTCCAACAGCCCTGCAATAAACCTCCCCTTTCTCATTCGGCATTAGTAAAGCTTTAAGCGAAGCCACCCGCTACCAAACCATAAAAGCATGTATTCTCGTCTTCTTACCTTCTCTTATAGCTTAATTTACCCTCAAGCACTGTCAGGGGAAATCTGCTTGATGGAAAAAGTCAATAACGCGTAGCATGGGAGCCACGAGTTATTGTTTCCAAATCATAAACAGGATCACATAAGCTAAATGATATCTGAGAATAATCATGCAAGCGGGAGGGAGGGCCTGTGGAGGAGGGTACGCAAAGTGAATGACCCATTGGTGCTCTTTTAGGCCGGACAGACTCTTAGGAAGACCTAAAAATACAACCAGTTTAGTTCTGATGGATATACAGTAGTCAACATTTGAAGTTGATCAAAAAAACATTCATCAAAGTTGTCCTAAGACAAGAACGCATTTTGGTTTTACTTTTAGGACAACTTTGATAAAAGGTTTTGATCCACTTCAAATGTTGACTAGTGTATATATATATATATATATATATATTTTGGGGAGAGAGAGAGAGAGAGAGAGAGAAAAGCACAGA